TTTTCGTTTTTATTTACATACTTCGTAAATTTTGACAATTTCAGTGGTTTAGTAATATTCAAAAATAACTACCCAAACATCCCGCTTACTCCAGAGCCAATTATAACAAGGTGGGGGACATGGTTACAAGCGTTAAACTATTATTCCAAATTTTATGATGAAATTAAAAATATAGTATCTATGTTGGATTCTGAACATGCAGCATCAATTTCCAAGGGTAAAGAAATTTTTGAGAGACCTAATATAAAGTCTGATCAATCATATATTGTGTCTAATTTTAGTTTTTTTGGGTGAATCAATTTCAAAATTAGAAAACACCAAGATTCCGTTGAGTGAAAGCATACAAATTATTGATTTATCAATTTCAAAATTTAATGAATCAGAGGGCCCAACAGCAGAATTATTAAAGAATAAAATGAATTTCGTTTTAAACAAAAATTCGGGACTGAAGAACATTAAATGTATAAGAAACATTCTTTGTGGTATTGCGGTTGAAGACACGACGGAGCTCAATCTTTCACCTAGTGAAATAACAGAAATTAAGTATGCTCCGATAACATCTTGTGATGTGGAACGCTCCTTTAGTAGGTATAAGTCAGTGTTAAGACCAAATCGCCGTACATTTAATTTTGAAAATTTAAAACAATATATGGTTTGTCATTGTTTCCCTTAGAATTGAATAAACATCAATTTATTGTATTTCAATTATGATCAAAAATTATTTAGAATTGTATTTTTATTTAAAACTTTAACATAGGTATTTTTTAAATTTTTTTAGTACATAATTTTTATTTTATACCACATATTTTTTATTTTATACTACATATTTTGGCAATTTTAATTACATATATATGTACATATTTTTGGTTTTTTATTACATATAAATCCCAGCCCTACTTATGAGTAATCTTGTATTAGATTTTCAAATCTTAGATTTAAAAAGAAAAATTTTTACGAATTCTTAACTTAAAATAATTTGCTAATTTTCGTGATTTTTCCATATTTTGTCAATTTTTGAACTTTAAATGCTTATAAAAAAAAACTGTGATTAACGATTTTTAATATTTTACATCTGCCTTTGAAACAATATACTAGGAGCCTTTTATTAAATTTTCAAGTTTTTTAACCAACAAATAAAATTTTATTGATATTTCTAGAAAAAAAACTAAAAAAAAATGAAAAATGAAAATGTCCCTAAACAGTTCAAAATAAATCAAAATATTTTGAAAATGTTATCGTGTATAGAAAATGCAAATATAAACAACCAGTGAAAATGTCATGTATCTACAGTCATTTGTTTTAAAGTTACACCAAAAACCAAATTCAATTTTCTGAAAAATCGATTTTGCGAAAAAAAAATTCCCGTTTTCCTTAATTTTTCTTTTGTTTTTCTTGGCGCTTTTGAAAAGTACTGGGTATTTTAAATGTTGACCTCCCCAATGCACCAACGATATTCACTTTCCAATCGAACAAGATACTGAAGTTGAAAATCGAAGAATTATTTCGACTACTTATCGTGTACACAGACATAAAAAATATAAAAAAACACACATCATTGTAAAATCAATACATTCATCGTTTCACTAAATCTAAAAAAAAACAAAAAAAAATTCAATCAATCATTGTGTATTGATGTACCATCCATCATTATGAAAATAATTGTTATTCTCAAACTTAGAATAATTATTATAAAAAAAAATCGGAGATTGAATTCGATTATCACGCTCTTAAATGATTATGCACAGTATTTGGGTAGTTGGGTAAATTACTTTTGAAAATTAATACAATTGTATTACTTGCTACATTATATATTTTTATTTAAATTACATTTTCGCATTACTGTTGCTATTATTTATAATTAAATTTGTATTTTAGCAAAATTTAAACTGTTACTTGCTTTATAATATTGACAATAATGAACAGAAAACGTTGAACTGCTAAGATAGCAACGACACATGACTCTGATAATGAGTTGCATAATACTTAATGTGAAAATAAGAACCTAATGATATTTTAATTTCAAAAATTTTAATTTTTAAAATATACATATAGGTAATAATTCTGATGGAACGAAAAAAACACACAATTAGAAATTAAATAAATGTTAACATACTTCAATTTGAGGTATGCCACCTAGACAACGAGGGACTTTCCATCAATTTATCAAATAATATGTTTGTAATTTCTATAAATTCAATTGCAAATTATAAATTGTTAAAAAAAATAAATTAGAAATTTAGAATTTTGTTTTCTGAAAATATATGTTTTAATAATAAATTATGTAATTTCATTACGTATGTGTAATAATAAAATAAAATAGTAATTCATAAAAAGTAATTAATTTATAAGAAGTTTGATTAATAATTATATTATAATGGTGTTTAAAAGGAAAAAATAAGTGAAATTGAAACTAAAAAAAAATCTAATTTAGTAAACTAATCAATTTTTTTTTTAAAATTATACCTAGCTCTAATTTTGTCAATTTTGGGTTTAGAATACAAGTTGGTATATCAAAACTACTTAAAAAAAAAAAAACAAGCAATCCAAAAACGATATTCAAAATATGGGGTTACTATTTAAAAAAAATGAAGTTGTGTTGCGCATACATAAGATACATGAGTTAAAAAAATTGTAAGTCATAGAAATGTATGAAAAATTAGTCTAGTTTAATGTACTGCAAACAGAATTGAAAAATATTTATAGGGTAATCAGTGATAAAGTTTACCCTGTTTCCGCGGACACACAGTATACAGAAAATATCCTTAAATATTTTGTTATCAATAAAAAACGTAATAACCTTCTTTTAATGCTCTAAACATTTTATATATATATTTTATTATTTCTCAAACTGTTCATAATAAATTGCCTTATCGTAACTGTATAAAAATAATCGACAGTTTTCTCCACAATCATTAATTTTTAGTTTCTTAATTAGATAATTAAATTAGGTAATAATAATTACATTTTTAATACATCAATACATTTAATTTAAATTACTCATTATTAAGTATATGAAACTTAACTAAGTTCTGTAGGAAGTAATTTACTCTTGTTTTTCAATAGCACTTGGTTAGAAATTAGAAACTATATTACTCAAAATGTCTTTGTTCGAAGCCATAAGCATAAAAACCTTCTAATTTATCTTTGTTGGTAGTATTTCACATATTTATATTGCACAGTGCAAAATTCCAAATTTCTAATTTAATTTTAACACTAAACACTCTTCTGTAGACTATAACTGACTTGGTAACTGATTAATGCAAAAAGTTCAAAATCAAAATACATACAAATAATGATGTAAGATTGAGTTATTAATGTTATCATGCAACTAACTAAATTAACCACAGATTTCGATAAAGTACTAGATAGCAAACTACGGCCATCAGCTGAAGCCTGGTTGTCCGGTATTAAATATTATAAATATTAATTGTGATTTATGCTGTATTGTAGTTTTTTATTTCTATATTTGTTGTTTTTCAAAAAAATAAAACTATATTTTTCATAAATCATTTTACATTTATTATTTTATTTTATTACTATATAAAACGATGTTAGTCTTAATACATTACGTATAAGTTATAAAATGTTTTGCAAACCAACAATATCACAGATATGTAATAAGCGCTTAAGTATTCACTATTTCCTATGTGCCATGCCACGAGTACCTACTTTATATATAGTAGACATAGTAGTCCTGTTTGACGGTTATATTCATATTCATATTATTGATATTCTTATCATCATAATCAATGGATAAAATAATAGTATTTTTTGGTTATCATACTAACTTTGTCGGCCGGTAATAGTACGAATGTACCAATAAGTACCAACATAATACCTTCATATTTGATTTTTAATATTTTATGCCTATTTCAAAAAAATATAACTTTTTTTTGTAATTATATAATAATATAGCGACTCATACAAGATTCCAGATTTCCCGATAGACTAATCCCTTGCTATCAACAATGATTAGTGACTTATGCATAGTATATAATATTTTTATTGTTTTTAGGGTTTATTATAAATTATTAAAGTAAAAACATGTTTGATTGTCTATTATCAAATTTTATAAAAAAACATTAATAAACTTTTACATATTAATATTCATATTATAATTTAATTAATTACATATTTACATGGCTTACTAATTTGATTCTATTTTATTCTGTTAACTTAAATTATGTATAAACATTATAACAAAATATTCACATTACCTAAACTAGATAATTTAACAATAATACACCTGTATACCAGTTAACTATTAAAATGTGGAGGCTTATCAATGACTACCACTCCGGCATAACTTCGGCCAATATTCATAGAGGCTGTTAACATGGACCATGTATTGGTGTTGGGATTGTAAATTTCAATGGAAGCCAAATTAGAAGCTCCATCATCACCGCCCACAACATATAATAACCCATCTAATGCAATTACTCCTATATTAGGACATAATTTAAATTTAATATGTTTTTTAAAAAAAATTGCTAAAAGAAAATTAAAAATTATTATACTTACCAGCGTTTCTTCGACACATATGCATATCAGCAATAGAAGTCCAAACTCCAGTACTTGGTCTATATGCTTCAACACTATTACGAACTTCAGGTCCATCATGGCCACCGACAGCATACATTACACCGTCTAAGACTCCTACACCAGCGCCACTGCGACGTACACACATTTCTGCTACTGGAGTCCATGTATCAGTACTGGGATGATAACATTCAACGGATTTTAAACACTGCCTTGATAATCCATCATAACCTCCTACCTACTCAATTGAATTAAAACAAATATTTTACAAATTTAAAATAATAAAATAAAATATTAATTTACCGCATATAAAAGATTATTGAGGACTCCAACACCAACACTACTTCTTCTGGTTGACATACTAGATACCATTCTCCATTCTTGAGTAGTGCAGTCAAAAACTTCTGCACTATTCAAACCACTAGTGCCATCAAACCCACCTACCTAAAATTGATTATATAATTTACAGTTTATAACATGAAATAAGACATATTTCAATATAGGTAACTTACAGCATATATGCAATTATCTAATACAGCCACTCCTAAAGTTCCTCGTCTAGCTAACATGGCAACAGTTGGTACCCAACAAGGTGATGGTGATGACAAATCAAGCATATCAACTGTACGAACCCTTAATGAACCATTAAAACCACCCACAGCAAATACACGACGATCTTTTAATACAGCCAGGCCAGCTCTACAACGGCGTGTACTCATTTCAGGTCCAGACTGCCATCGATTGGTTGCTGGGTCATACCATTCTACACTACGAATGGCTTTAGGCGCTTGTCCTCCAACCACTAGTATTATCTGTAATGTATAAATGGATATATTAATTTTAAAACTAAATAAATCACAAGAAAAAGTTACTTTAGGTAAACCAACAGGTTGTCTGGGCTTGGTACGAATGGTTTTCGGAATAGTACCAGGCTGTTCAGACTTGAGTAAATGAAAATTTAAAGCTTCAATTATATAGTCTTTACCTAAAAATATTAGAGGAATATTAAATTATAATTTATATTAAAGGTAGCCTTTTAAATAAGGAAATTAAAGAAAAAAACATACATTCAAGACTATTTTTAAGAAGAGGTTCCTCTTCAACTCTCTTAAGTAAATATTCTTTTGATGCTAAAGGCAAACGAACATGCTCCATTAATTTAGGCAACATATCTTTTCTACAACTTGATTCATAATTAACCCAACAAATAACACATTCAAATACCTAAAAAAATGTAAGGAGTTAAATAATAATCATTAGATTAAATTAAATGAATCATTATTCTTTCATTGGATGTATTATATTTAAATGTAACAATTTCTTTGAAACCTACTTTTTCTTCAGATGGAACTGTGAGTTCATCACTGGAGATTAACTTAACTACTTGTTCGGATGATAAAGATAGGAACTCGTCACCTTCAACCACTTCTCTAAGTATCAAAAATCAAAATATAACAATAATTAATACAATTTCCATGCACTGTCATACAAATAAATAATATATCATACGAAAAGTGTTGTTGAATATATGATTCAGAACTAGACAATAGTTCCATACAGCCATGTAAATCGGCAAATGCTTTGATACCAAGACAATTTGTAGGGTGCAGTTGTGATTGTAAAAAATCACAACATGCATCTTGTACATCGTGTAATTGTAAGAGATTTGCAGCGGGTAATAAAACCTTAACATAAAATGATAAATTAAAAATAGTGCATTTAAATTAGTTTTCAATGTCCATAAAAAGTGAATATGATTATACCTGTACATTTTCTTCACTGACCATTATTTGGGCAGTATAAATAAAATCTACTAGGAGTTTTAATGCTGTAGAATCCAATTCTCGAATAATTACATGATCTTTATTGCTCTCTTCAAAACTTGTGAACATAGCATGGAAATAAGGACTAGCAGATGCTAAAACAACTTTGTGTCCAAATACTACTGTATTATCATCCGTTTCTAATTTAATATCACAAAATACCTCATCTCTAAAACAAAAATATGTTGTTACAAATATCTAATATATTATCTTAAGACTAAAAGTTGAAATCTCTCACAACAATACAATATACCTTCGCAAAGATTGTAAAACTTCAAATGCACGAACTGTATGAGAGCTATTTCTATATGGAGTTCGTTCACGTCTCCCTGACCTTGGTACTTGTTTTTGAGAACTCTCATCCAATGAATTCTGACTTGCATATCGTAATAATAAACCTGTCACTCTAAACATAATAATAATTTGACATTAATAAATAAGAATAAGTAGCACAGATCATCTCAAAACTTACCCTGTTGAAAGGTTATCGCCTTCCATATTGAAAACCACAGTAAGAACTTAAATTTTAAAACGCTTAGTTGATTCACACATAGTTGCAGTACCTAGGCTAAAATACCAAAGGTCATGACATCGTTCTAAATTCAAAAATAATTTATTTTGTTGAAATACTATAGGTACTAAATTCATCGACAAATGAAAAGGTTATTAAATTAACAACTATAACAGCTATGAAGTAGCAAAAAACAATAAACGGGTAGAAGTATCTATTAAATAAATAATAATTATGAATTAAGATCCATATTCCCTATTCTCTAGCAATGGACACTTTCTAGACAATGATTTTTTGAATTGATGTTATCACTTACCGATGATGACTGATAAGAATATCAAAAATATATTGATCGATGAAGGCCACGGTCTTATATATCTGTATATAAGACCGTGATGAAGACTAAAATAAGGAAACCAAACCAGAATACCAGATATACATATCTTAATTCGTGGACCAAGCTATAAAAAAAACTATAGAACCTAGAACCACAGAATAGATTAAATTTAATTTAATCTATTCTGTGCTAGAGCCTAGAACCATAGAACAATAGTACCAGCGGTCACAGCGCCATCATCATAGCAATGCTGTCATTTCTGACAACATAAAATATGTTTATTCGCATATTTATACATTACATTATTGAAACACAAAATAAAAAATAAAAAAAATCATAATTACCATAATAATTGATTAATAATAAATCATATATTCAGTTTTATTCATTCAGAAACAATATAATTTTTGTGTATTATTCATCAATCTATTATCATACAATAATTGTTAAAACTCAATAACCGAACGCCCAACCTGAAATTATATTGCGCATGTGCCACGGACTAAGATATACCTTAGTCCGTGCATGTGCGCAGTAATCATAGATAATAGCACGCTGGAACCACGGTTTTAGAAGTTAGATAGGGTAGAGACGTAGAGTAGGGTATTATTGGCACTGGTATAGTTATTGGCATAGCAACATTGTTTTTATAATAAATAATGATGTGATGGCTTAATAAGTTATGTTTTTATATCAATCACGGACACGGATCACAGATTTCTATATATTACTCATAGAGTATATAGAGGAGCCCTAATTGAAATAATATGAAGCGGAAATGGAAACAAAACAGTGTAGGCAAACTATAGAAAATATTTTATTGTATATGAACTATAATACAATATTTATTGTAATTTAATTATATTACTCATTATTATTACTCAATTATATCATATTGTTCTATGGTTATATTAACCTTTATTTATAACTATCAATATAATATTAATTATTATAATATTACTGAACTGAACTTGATTTGCACAAATACGTAAATACCTACTATTATAATATGTTATGGGAGGGTAGTAACTTTTTGGTGAGGAAATTATCAGTACTATCAATACTTAAATTATTGTAACACACCAGCATCTTAGGTTTGTTCCTGAGTAAAAAGTATTATAACATATTTAAAATATTACATTGCTGGGATTTACGAAAAGTTGAAAATTAGCGCTATCTATCAGTTGCGTTGTTAGTTATTGGAAACCAAATTTTTTAATTTCATCCATGAAAGTGATATAAACCGTTTTTTTTCTAGTGATATAAACCGTTTTTATTTACTGTCTGGTACCTAGTTAGATTATTAAATTCAGCAAGTTCTGAAATAAAATAAATATGAACCAACTAATTTTAGAAATGATTCTCACTCTGTAAGAATACATGAAGATTTACAATTTCTTCTCAAGTACGTTGACAGTTATTTCACCTTCATTCAAAATAAGTATCACTTACATTTTTGTTTTTAGAAATGAAGTTTTATGCGATGTTAGATTCGAAGCAGATGATGGTAAAATTGTTATTGTTTTTACCAGCTGCAAATATCTTACAGTTAGATTATATTAGTAGTGCATGTGCTGAGATTTTACAAAAACAACTGGATACATCAAATTGTATTGATATCAAAGCATTTGCTAACTTACATAACTATAAGGGATTGTTGTCGAGTTCTGAAGCATATATTAAACAACATTTTTTGTAAGATAAACATAATTTAATTCTCTATTTAAGAGTAAGTAGGTAATTTATTATAAAAATAATGATTATTATTTCCAGAGAAGTAGCTTAAGGCGAAGATTTTCTAATCTTATCTTCTGAATATTTGGTGAAGTTTTTTTCCTCTAATGACTTTGCTGTTCCATGTAAAGAAAAAGTAAGCAAACAACAAATTATAATTTTTAATATTTTACATGGAAAATCAACTTAAAGAGGTGGGTAAGTGAGTATCACTCTACTGTATAGTACAGTGCAGGTGTCTAGACTCTACAGCAGCGGTTTATAAGCTTGACCCTAACATTTTTAATTTAACTTTTGGTGACCCCCCAAAAAAATTATAATTGCAAACTCAACATTCATTTATTTATTATTATCATCAAATTGGTAAATATGTATATTTATTAATTTATCTAATATCTCTGTATTCTGAAATACTTAAGGGGACGTTACAGTGACATTTGTTGTCTTCGTCTTACAAGTGTGTGACATAGCAAATTTTACACTCAGCAAAACACGTTTATCTCCCATTAGCTTAAAAATTAGAGCGAATTGACCTCTTATAAAATTTAAAGGTTAAGATTATTACCTAGACAATGATACAAGCTTTTTATTATAATTTAATTTTAAAGCGAGTTATGTATATTTTAAAATTGTAAACTGTTTGTACATCTTAAAATACTCATAACGCGCTTTAAAATTAAAATATAATAAAAAGCTTATGTCATTGTCTAGATAATAATCTTACCTTTACATTTTATAAGAGATCAGTTCTCTCTAATTTTTAAACTAACGGGAGATAAACTTGTTTTGCTGAGCTTAAAATTTGCTATGTTACGCACTTGTAAGACAGAGAAAACAAATGTAATTGCAACGGCCCCTAAAGAAAAATTCTATTCTTATCTCAACATTCAACTCATTAAACCGTCCAAAAATGTTGGTAACTGGTATCCTAGACGTTAGTAAGATAATACATGTGGGTATGACATTTTGTCGATGTTTAATGAGTAAAATTGAATTATTTAATTTATATTAAAGGACAACTAAAAAAACCTATTTTTTTTTTTTTTTATTGTTTTAATGTATAGGGCTTTGAAAAAGAATAATTTTGGTGCTCTTAAAATTGTTGTCAGACATTTGGTTCTGTGTTTAAATATAAGTCGCGTTTTACCCGTGACGTCATAAAATCACACCGTCTGACGGGTTGTATCTAATATACCCTCGGAATTTGTTTCGTGCTATTAAAATAATTATAGAGAAAAATGGATTAAAGGTACAAGTTATTAAAGTACATTTATAAAAAGGTTATACACTTCTTTAGATGGTCATATTATTTTTATTGAGTTGAAATTTGTTTCAGGGTAGTTTATAGGAAAGACAAAAAATAAAAATATATAAAATATCAACATAATTAGGTTATTATACTTACGTATATTTAATAATATTATAATCCGTAATTTAATGTATTAACAAATGTGTTTTTATAATTAATAATAAAATAACTAAATAAATGTGTAAAAAAAACATCAAAATAACATAATATTACCATTCAATAAAGGTTACCTTCACAAAATTGAATAGAAGTGTAATAGTAGGTTTTAAACAACTATAAAACTAACAACTTACATATTATAATTTTCTGTACTATATTATGAATTATAATGTTTAACTTATTATAATATGAAATAGATTACATGAATCACGGGTTTTGAAAACCATAACAATAATACTAAAAAAACATTAATAGGAGAAAAAGTTGTATTTTCTAAACCACTAACCTAACCTAACCTTTTTTTTTATAGGACGATTTACAATAAAAAATTCTTACAATAAAACTCAAAATAACTGGAAACGTGATATAATGTCAACAATTATCGAAGAAGCTGAAAAAGAAATTTCACCACAGCCTTTAGATGTACAAAAAGAATGTAATACCGACATCCCAAAAAATATTTATCAAACACCTCGCCCGCCCTATGAAGAATTAAAATCAAAAATATATTCAAGATTTACCTAAATATATAATATAACTAGGTAGGTAATGATAATTATAATAATTCAATTACGTATAATATATTAATATATATGTATTTTTGTTTGAAGTAATATATTTTATTTTGAGGTTTTTTTACACATTTATTTTAGTTCTTATATTATTAATTATAATAACACATTCGTTAATACATTAAATAACGGATTATAATATTATTAAATATACGTAAGTATAATAACCTAATTATGTTGATATTTTATATATTTTAATTTTTTGCCTTTCCTATAAACTACCCTGAAACCAATTTCAACACAATAAAAATAATATGACCATCTAAAGAAGTGTATAACCTTTTTATAAATGTACTTTAATAACTTTTACCTTTAATTAATTTTTCTCTATAATTATTTTAATCGCGCAATATAAATTCAGCGCGTGTATATTAGATACAACCCGTCAGACGGTGTGATTTTATGACGTCAAGCGCAAAACGCGACTTATATTTAAACACGGAACCAATTGTCCGACAACAATTTTAAGACCACCAAAATTATTCTTTTTCAAAGCCCTATACATTAACAAAATAAAAAAAAATAGGTTTTTTTAGTTGTATAGTCCTTTAATGAATGCTGGCCAAAATTTGAAACTTTTAGAAATATAACTAATTAATTATCTAAATATCTATTGAGTTAAAAAATTAACAACTTTGAGGTCAAATTGCAGTGTTAATAATCCAATAATATTAAGATTGTATAGAATTGAAATAAAATATGTATAAAGATTAAATAATTCAATTTAATTATTAAGACATTAATGAATGTGTGAGTACTTTTAAAACCATAAACTGCCATGTGAATACAAATAAGTCAATTGACAGCCTCACCTCAACTATTACAAACTATGTAAACAACTAGTATACGTCACTAAATTATACATTACTCATTGTA